TTCATAAAAATTAAGTGTTTGAAACTAATTTAAGTGACTTTCGCCTCAAGTCAAGCCTTTTTTTCCCTCAAATTTAAATTTATTCTTGTATAAATTGATGTTAACCTAATAAATATGTTGAATTAATAAATTATTTAGCATATCTTTATAAATTAATGGATTGCATTTGTGTTTCTATGCGTTTCCATATTTTTTCTGCGTTTCCATTGCGTTTCCCGAATGTTTCCGAAACGTTTCTATTTTTGAGTTGACCGAAACGGTACTTCGAAACGAAATTTTGATCCTTGGCTATAATGAGTAGAATCCCTAAAGGCTAACAAAGCTAATACTTGTTTTTTCACAAAACACCATTCCTGGATATCTGAGGGACGTGTCCAGTCATCAACATTCATTATGTCGGCAAGGATGATGTAAGTCCAATTCGAAAAATGAAATTTGGTATAATCTGTTTATCACATTTTCTTTTCGCTTCTCCACTGGTGATGTCACTTGAATGAGAAACATGTTCATTGCGTTGTCTGTGTGTGCACATGTTCTTGCTGCATCTAAATTTTCGTTTGTTGATTGCACTGAGGTAATTCTGTTGAGTACCTCTCTCCTGTATGCAGACAAATGCAACCAAGACTATCGTTATGTTTTGAAATCAATTTTAGTTTAACTTTTGCATCTTGTATTTCAATCTAGAAAACTTGAATGTTATGTTGATCTTTTGTGCCTTTTGGTTGTCAAAAGTTGAATGCTCTGTGTGATGATTCTTTGGCAATTCCGTTAGCTAATTCTTGTGATTTTAGGCTCAAAAGATATACGAGCGAGTGAAATGATGATCGGTCTCAAGCTGGCTGTACAAATCACTCAATCAACTCAAATGGGTGAACTTGTCAGTGGTTTGAAACTGCTAACAGTATTCTTCTTCCACTATTTTTCCCATATGTACTATTATGATTAAAATTGGAAGCTTTTCAAAAATTATTGTGGGCTTGCATGGAGATTTGATGTAGACTGAAAAGAGAATTAGGGATGAGAAGATAACACGAAGGGGATGAGAGTAGGGGAAAAAAAAAGGAGGTTAGGGTAAAAATGATTGTCTCAATTAATCAGTAATCAAAAAGATTGAATAAAAAGCTTACATCAATTCCTTTATACACAGACACAGGGACGTCACACCCCAAAGTGAAGAACTCCTAACATAAAGCTAACACTAAAAAGATAATTACTAACTATTATCGCATAAATAAATAAATCCGGAATATTTTTCCAACTCCAACAAGATTGTTTGTCACTTCACAGGTTACCTGAATTAAAGCACTTTGGACATTGATTCATGAATGTATGTTGTTTTCAGAGGACAAGATTGTTTGTGTGAACTGACTTTTGTTCCAACAATTTATGCTAAGGGATTGGTCTCTGGAAATTCATGGATCTCCCTATGCATGCGTTTCTGAATATATATGTATTTCTGTGAGTAATATGTTAGTTAATATTTAAACAATTTTCTTGTTCAATATTAGATAAGAATTTTATTACTACAGTGTTTTTATTTTGATTTACCTGGCTTGATCATCTGTAGATGGTTGGTTTTCAGTGGTCATCTATTTTGGCGGAGATTTGCTTGTCTGTACTATCTTTTTCATATTTGAGAGTTATATGTTTGGAATTGCCATTTCAGTGCCACTGCTTTTATAGGATGATGGTGTTTGATTTGGCCCTAGTGTTTTTATCATAATTTTTGAACTGCTGCTTCTTTAGTTTGGAGCTTAACATCTTACTTATTCTGTTGAACTATCTATCCCCGCCGGGGGGGGGGGGGATTACAATGTCGGAAGAAATGGATCTCCTTGTTTAGCAAGTTAAGATGCTTACTGGAGAGATTGCATTCAGCACCAGTACCTTGAACGGTTTAGTGGAGCAGTCTGTAATGATCCTGAGATCTCAAAAACCCAAGTAGCAGTACATTCTTCTATCAAAGACCTATAATTCCTCTTACTGTGCTGAATTTGGTTTCAAAAGGGTAGACATACGGTTTCAGAATCTGCTGGAACCTGAAATATCAGAAAAATAATTAATGAAGTGTCCAAAACATTTCTTCTAATTTAATTTGGCTGTAGCATTCTGTGATTATGTTGGAGAAATGATTTTTTCTACGCGATTACGAGAAAACTTGAAACTTATTCGTTAGACCAATGTTATCCACCCATGTATTTGTTTAGGATTTTGACTTCTTGCTTTGTATGACATTTGATTGATTTTACACCTTTGTATACTGAAGTCGCAGATTTTTTTTCTTGTATGAAGGGTCTCTCCATCTATTGCCACTTGGTTTTGGGTCGAATGTCTCCACCATGGTATCAGTCTATCAGAGTTGTGCCTTGGACGGTTATCGGGTTAAGTCTCTCACATATGTGAATTCCTCTGTATGTTTGACCATTTGGGTTCTGTAAGTTTGGTAAGTGATTCAAGCCCCATCCCATTCTAATTCCTTTGTTCATTTGTCTGTAAGTTTTTGGTTCAATTTGTTGGCCCACTTGCAAGCTCAGGTTTGCATGTGAGGAAGGGTCTGAAGGGTTCTCCATTCTTGTAGCCCAAGCCAAAAGATTAGGTCTATCCAAAGCTTGATTATATGATTTGGAGTCTTTTCACCCATTGGCAACTCGTTTTGGGTTGGATACTTCTAACAGGACCTATTATTTCAAAGTGTATACAAAGTTTACTCTCTTGAGAATTTTGAATTTGAATTATCATCCATTTTCGGTATGTACACTTCATGTAGCTCACGTTGTTTGAAGTTTTTTCCCCCTAAGGATGCTTGACTATCTTCTGCAACAGATTCACAAATTGGAACATGAAATCCAAGAATAGAGAAGGCAAATGAGGGTTGTACAACAACAGATTATTGAGAATGGTGAAGCTTCAATTGCTAATTCTCATTAGCTGAGATGCAAAAGGCAATCTATTTTCTCTTCATCATCTTCTCTGGCTTAGTGATACTATGTGCTTTACAAGTCAATGATGGTTTTATAATTATTAGCAAACAACTTAATATTTATGTTCATTGTTTCTAATTTAATAATAGACACTGAACTAGAGGTCAGTGCCCCAGTGGATCTCTCTCTCATTGTTTTTGTAAGGTTATTCCCTTAATTTTTCAAGATCAAACGTTGCTTTGTAATGTAGTGTTTTAGAATTAGCATCCGATTAGGTGGTTCCTCCAGTGTTTTTGTTTCTGGCTGTGGATTAAATCAGCAGACAATTGCATCCTCCAGGAACAAATGTAGAACAAGGTGAAACAGCAACATGCTTGTCTCAAACATGTTAATTGATCTCTCTTGCCAGTGCAATTTTTTTGTTAGTTTGTTTATCATTTTCATCTTGTTAAAGACGCGGGTAAATATTCATAAATAAAAATGCTTTGGTTTGTTTTTTTCTCTCTTTGCATCAAGACCTTGAGACTTCATTGTTATTGTCAGTGTTTAGAGAACAAAGAACTGCAAGAGAAAATCAGTTTCCTGCAACTGCAGCTGGCTTCAATCGCTGGTCATCGCTTTCGGCTGAATATTGTGTTTCTGAAGAATCTATTCACGAGTTGAGGAAGGAAACCCTGTCCCAGGTTAGCTCAAACACACCCTGCACTCTGTCATAGAAAGATTTTTTTACAGTATTGCTTGGAGTTGTCAGCATATTTCTATTTCATGTATTTTTATCGTAGTTCTTTCTCTGCAGGCAAAAATATATTCAGCTACCGATGTTCTCACGGAAATTTTACTACTTGTAGTTGATGAAGAGGAAGAGTTTTCTTGTCCTCCTAGAGATCCCGAGGCTCTCATTTTCATGGAGAAAATAGGTTTTTATTTTCTACTAGGTTGAATTTTTTTTTCTTGTCAGCATTTTTGTGCTGAGAATTTCATGGTATTGATAAACATTTGTAGTTCTGATGAACTTTTTGGTCATTATGATGCTCTACCTCAATCCTGATAGGACTGTCTTGTACCCTTAAAAGACGAGGGAAAAGAAAAACATAAGACCATTTACTCATGCATGTCTCTAAAACTATTATTGCCAGTCAGTTTAATTTTCTTTCTTACTGTTATTACTTCAGTGATTTGTTTAAGTTTTTCAAGGAATAGTCTCAACAGAACTACCAAAAGAATTTCCCCTTCTGTAGTCCCTTTGGGAATGTTATGAAAAATGATTGTCACATCTGTTATTTGGCCATCTCAATTTATGCAATTTTTTTCATCTAATTTTGAGGAAACCAAACAAAGGGAGCAAGATGGGCAACTGGATGGGTGGTTTCTTTCAGAAGTTGATGCACAACTATGACAAGTGAGTCTGTTGAATGGTATTGTTTATACTGCCTGTTTTTACTTTTACTGGTAGCATGAGGTAAAGGCTGCAATTGGCTAATGTTGAGATAGACATGAGTTGTTTTCAATGAGTTGAAGAAGATGAACAAGTTTAGGGGCCACATGCTTTTGATAATGTACACCATTAAAGACTCAATCATTAAAAGGTAGTGCAAAGCATAACAATGTGTGTAAGTGTAAGCCATTAGACTGTTATTGGCTATTGTGGCTTCTTGTGAATCCTTGTCTAGAGGGGAATTGAGAGATGAGGTCTGAAGGGGAGCAGAACCTTTGCTTTCTTTGATTGGATTTTTTCAATATAGAATTAAGGTTTGTTTCTATGTTTTGCAGCATGAAGAGCAAAAGTTTCCTCTTTGCATAGTCAGAAAGACAGAATGGGGATGATGCTGACAGGATTTGGAAAACATCCAAGTGGTTTTATAACCCTTTTTATGCACTCGACTTATTTTATGAAGAGTATCAAGTCAAAATGGTTTCCCAATTTTTAAATTCTATTATGTTTTCTTAAAGAGGGAGCTACTGATGATGAAATGACTTGTTTTGATATAATAAACATGGCGACTTTGATATGTGCAGTCAATCAAGATGCTGAGAAATCATGTAAAAAGAAGGTGGAAATGGAATAGCTGAGGGATGCAAATGATAAGGATGTGTTGGTGCTTTGATGTATGTTTTAAAGCGGCCTTTTTCTACTAACCTAAGTTTTTTTTCCTATAATTTTCCTGTATTGGATTGCAGTAATTTTTACTTTTCTGTGGATGTAATTAGGTACTAATCAAACTTGCCTCACACCTTTATGTGTCAAAATACTGCTGCAAGTGCTCTTCCTTCTGTAAATACGATAAATTTCTGCGGTAGACTCTTGGAGCTTTTTTTTGGTACTGAAATGTGGAGATGCGCTGGAAATATATGACTGGGTCACTAGTTTATCTTTCAGAGTTCTCAAAACATCTTTCCGTATGATATGTCCATTATTGACGACATTTACTACGCCATGTCTCAAATAATAAACTCATTCCGACGTATCGGTTTGATGCTAATTTTTCTCAATTTTTAATAAGCAACTCAACAAGTGTACCCACAAATGATCCTTGTTAATCGAGGATTAAGGTTCTTATTAAGAACATTTGGTATAATTATTTGAAGTGCATGATGTCTGTTTTATCTTAAGATTTCTATTTAGTTTAATTTTGACTAGGTCCATCTTGTTTTTTGAGCAGCTTCAACAGCTTGTTGTAGAAAATGTACCAGCGTTCAATGAGAACCTCTGGATATGGCTTGCAGCTAAAATGGATACTTGCAAATCAGAGGATGACAAAGCACGGTTTTATACTTTGGATTGAATTTGTTTATTTCTCTTAGCTCATCCAATTCTTACGTAATTGAAGTTTTGTCACCAATTTTTTTTTGCAGAAAGACTATGAAGAATTGGCTTTATTTGTAGTGAGCTTAGTGGATCGCCTAGTCCATAAGACTAATGTAATGTTCGTTTCTCTAACTGTGCTAAAACACACCCTGCACCCTATCATAGGAAGGTTATTGCAGAGTATTGCTGAGAGTTGCAAGGATATTTCTATTTCATGTATTTTTGTCGTAGTCCTTTGTTGTTGCTGCAGGAAAAATATATTTAGCTATTGATGTTCTCAAGGTAATTTTAAAACCTGTAGTTGATGAAAAGAAAGAGATTTCTTGGCCTCCTAGAGATCCCGAGGCTTTCATTTTCATGGAGAAAGTACGTTTTTATTTTCTACTTGGTTATTTTTTTTCCTTGTCAGCACTTTGTGCTGAGATTTAAGAGAAGTGATAAAACATTTTTTGTTTCGATGAGCCTTTTGGCTTTTTTTGTCCCCTTCTTTTAGTTATGTACACCAAAGATCAGTCCATCATTAACAACTGCCCAGAGTCCTTCATTTATGGATGTTGTGCTGCATTAGGACTCTATCTCAATCCTGATGGGACCATCTTGCACCCTAAGGAAAAGAAAAACAGAAGGCCATTTACTCATGCATGTCTATAAAACTATTATTGCTTGTCAGATTTATTTTCTTTCCTACTTTAGTGCGTTGTTTAAGTTTTTGAAGGAATAGTCTCAGAATAACTACTGAAAGAATTTCCTCTTTTGCAGTCCTTTTGGGAATGTTGTAAAGACGCATGTTACATCTTTTATTTGGCCATCTCAATTTATGTAATCTTTTTCTCCTAATTGTCAGCAAATCAAACAAATGGAGCAAGAATGGCAACTGGACGAGGGGTTTCTTTCAGAAGTTAATGCACAACTACGGCAAGTGAGTCTGTTGAATGATATTATATATACTGCTCCTTTTTACTTATATTGGTAGAATGAGGTTATGGCTACATTTGGATGGTAAAAAGACACTTATCTATGTCACAATTGCTAATATTTCATTGGATACACACACACACACACACACAAATACATACACCTATACACTTTGTACACACGCTAATACACCAACAGACGCGGACGCACACACACACTCACACATTGAGTTAACACACACTAATACACTAACACACAGACACACAGTATTACACCCAAACAAATAGACACTAATCCTTCAAAACACACATGCACACACTAATATACCCAAACCAAACACATGCACACTAATACTTCAAAACACACGTGTTGATACACCAAAACACACACTCACACTCACACTCTCTCTTATACATCAAAACACGAACACACACTCACGATGCACCCATTAAAACACCAAAATACAAACACACGCGTGTGTGCACACACTAGTATACCAAAATTGTATGTGTATATGTGTATTTTGGTGTATTAGTGTATGTGTGTGTTCTAGTCTATAAGTGTATGTGTTTTTTTTCGTATATAAGTGTGTTTTTTGATATATTACTCTGTGTGTATCTTGTTGCATCACTGTGTGTGTTTTGGTGTATGATTGTGTGTGTGTGTAGATATGTGTATGTTTGGCATATTAACGAATGTGTGTTTGGTGCATTAGTACGTGTATTTTGGTGTATAAGTGAACTCATATATTGTTTTGGTGTATTATTGTGTCTTTTCTTTGTATAATGTGTGTTTTTTTATGTATTACTACGTGTATTTTGGTGTATGTGGGGTTTGTATGTGTTTTGGTGTATTAGACTATGTGGGCTTGTGTTTTGATTGTTGGTGTTACTTTCTTGGTTGTTTAATCGTTTTTATTGATAGTCTGCATTTACTTTTTAAATGATAGCTTCTGGATACGACTTGCAGCTAAAGCAGATACCTGCAAATCTGAGGATGACAAAGCATGATTTTTGAAATTTGAATCGAATCTGGTCAATTTCTTTTTAGCTTAGCTCTTTCATATGTAATAGAAGTTTTGCCACCTATTTTTGTTTGCAGAAAGGCTATGAAGAATTGGCTTTATCCATAGTGGTCGCCTAGTCCATAACACCAATGTACGGCTCATTCTCTCTAACTGTGCACAAACACACTTTTCAACACTATCATAGGAATTTTATTCCAGATCATTGTAGACAGTTACATTGATATTTCTTTTCCATGTATCTTTTTTCTAGTTCTTTCTTGTTGCTGCCGGAAGAAATAGATTCAGCTTATGATGTTCTAAAGGAAGTTTTAAAACCTGTAAGAAAGAGCTTCCTTGGCCTCCTAGAGATCCTGAGGTGCTCATTCTCACGAAGAAAGTATGTTTTTGTTTTCTACTTGGTTGAATTTTTTTTTTTTTTTACCTAGTCAGTATTTAGTGCTGAGACTTTCAGGGAAGCTATAATTGTTTATAGTTTTCCCATTAGGCTTTTAGCTTTTCCCCCCTTTTTCTTTTAGTTACTCATTTTACACACTGAAAATTTCATTGTCAACAACTGCCCACAGTCCTCTGTCTATATATGTCTTGCTGCATTATGACTCTATCTCAACCCTGATGGTATATTTGACCTTATGGCACTCTTAAAAAAAAATGGAAAAGAAAAATAGAGCGCCATTTACTCACGCATGACTCTAAAACTATTGCCCATCAGATTTCTTTTCATTCTTAATATTAATGTTTCAATGATTTATTGAAGTTTTCGAAGGAATAGGCTTAGTAGGACAGCTGAAAATATTTCCTCTTTTGCAGTCCCATTCCTTTCAGAAGTTAATGCACAACTACAGTGAGTGAGTCTGTTGAATGTGATTATTTAGACTGCCTGATTTTAATATATATTGGTAGCATGAGGTTATTGCTCCCTCTTGTTCTCACATTCACCTTCATTGTTGCTTTTGCATAAAGAATATTAATGTGTCTTGATGAAAATTTTGAAAATGGGTCAAAACAATATAGGTCCATCCTAGTGTAGCTGAAATTTGGATGTTAAGATGGATCATGGATGCTTTGTAAGCCAATAATGCAATAGCATAATGGAGGATAAATTGAGGGAGAATCAATTCAGATGGTTTGGTCAACTTCAAAGACAACCTATAACTACACTGATGAGCATGGGTGTTGTTAAGTATATTATTCATATTTGGGGTGTTTGAGAGGAGGTGTTTGATCCCATGATCTGAACTTTCTTTTTTAGGATCCATACTAGTAGACTTGCAATTTGTAAGTCACTTTTTTACTCCTTTCATTCTTATTGACACGCAGGGGAAAGAAGACGGGGGCAAGGAACTTGAGGCTATGTTGCAGAAAGTTCTGCAAATCTATGCTTCTGCTGTCCTCTCTAATCACGGTTATGCCGAAAAAGGTCCTTTTTCTCTTTTCCTCTTATTTTTTCATGTTGAATTATGTATACCATCAACAGGTTTGTGTCAAACATGACAGTCTCCTGGATTTACCCATTGTTAGTTCAGTTATAAGATGTGAAAGGACAATCCTTTATTAGGCCATGCTAGTGTAATTACCTTTTGAAGTTTGGCTATCAAATATTCTGCTTTTTATCAGATAGAAATTAGATTGCTAACTGGTGTTCTGGGCTAACTGGTGTTCTGGGCATTGTTCAGTAAGATTGAAAAGTGTGGGGCATGTTAGGCTGCCTGTTACTCCAGACATGAAATTTCTTACATGACTTTATTAACTGTTTGAATATATTCTAAATGCTTAAGGAATACCATTTTCCTTCTTTGATATCCTTTTTTTTTTTTTTTTTCCATAATCTAGTATTCAATTACCCTTTTTTTTTCCATTTGTAAGACATCACTGGTATATTGCTGCCACTTTTAAGTTTTCAACAGGAAAGAGTACCAACAGGTCTTTGGTCTACTGGTACTCCTTGCCGCTTTGCTTTCTTGAAGTCAAGGGTTCAAGTTCTCTTTCACTCCAAAAAAAAAAAGCTGCCTTATATTGCAAGTAAAACTTGCTTTTCTTCCTGGTGTATGAAATGAAGTTTTGAAAGGTGAGCAGTTCCTTGAGATCATAATTGAAGGTAAATGCAATCTGCTAACCTCCTGTCTTGTGAACTTGAAAATATGATATCAATTATGCATGTGTTCTAATAGTCACTGAAACATTTTTTCTACTTGTAAAGACGGTTCTATGTATGACACTGTTACTGTATAGGGAAGATGCCCTTTTAGCTTGATGAAATGAAAAAGATGTTGAAATCCTATGTTAGGACAGACAGTTCGCGGCATCTTTAAAGATGTAAGGTTTGTGACTTAGTCTTGGATTGTGAACCATGTGGCTACTAACAAAGGGGTGGGAAGTGTTGATCACCTTAAATTTGATTTTATGTTTTATTATAACTTTATCAGTTGATCTATAGAGTAGTTTAAGGCAGTTTGATTGCAGTATGAACATGGTTGTCTAAATGGTCGATTTAGAAGTTTCCTTTTGAGGGTCAGTGCTGTAAAACTTCTTGTTATGCATCTACCTTTTTTTAGTATCTTAGAGTTGTGTTTGAGAATTGTGTTGATCTATGTTCAGATTGATGTAGTTAAAATTGCTCTGGTGAGCATCTGTAGGGAGTGGCCTAGCTAACAGATTTACAGTAAGTAGATAGGTTAGGTGGTTGTCAAATAGTGACATGAAAAAGGTCGTTATGAAGTTTTACAATGAAACACAGCTTAGAAAAAGTAAATAACAGAAGTAAAGAATTGCAAGTTTTTAAAACTGTAAGCTCAATTCTCTGGAGAGGGCAGTGTTTGGTCTACAGCTTGCAGGAATCATGAAAGTTATTCTACATTCCTCCAGTTCTCTTAGCATTATATAAAAGGCAATTGGGAGAACAAATTACCGATGCGTAGATCTAATTATCATCAAAATCTTCTGTGGAGTTATTGCAGCATCTGTTTATGTAGAATATCTCACCCTCTCTGCGAGTGTGTATGGATTTGCTGTATGCACGCATGTTTTATCTTCATTTTAATTTTCTGGTGTCGTGTTGTGAGGTATTTTTACTTAGAAACCCCCCCCCCCCCCATCTCCCCCTGTGTGTGTCTCTGTGTGCAGACTTATGCAACAAAGACTATTGTTGAGTTGTTAAATTAATTTTAACTTTTGGGTATTGCATTTCAATCTTGAAAATTTGAATGCTATGCTTATCTTGTACACCTTATTCTTTTTGGTTAGAAGTTGAATGTTATGCTTAATGGTTCTTTGCTCATAGGGCTCGACGATCGGAGAGCCTATCCATCTTCTACATCAGCAATTCTATCAGATAAATCTTATGATTTTAAACACAAAAGATCTTCCACCAAGTGGAATAATGATCTATCTGAAGCTGGCAAAATTACCCCTGCATTATGACTCCATTATGTATTGCGGTTATTGTTTTTTAAGAATGTTTTCTAGCCATATCTTGTGTTCAAATTCTTATGTCATCTCTCACAAACAATCAGCGTGTTTGCAGATGATCGAAAGCAGTGACCATGGGTGACGTAAAATTTTGATGTCATCTCTCACTAACAATCAGCGTGTTTGCAGATGATCGAAAACAGTGACCTTGGTGACATATATGATGGAGTGCTCTCCCAACTTGTAGGCTTAAATTCATTTCTCGTTATTCTTCTTTTTTTTTAATTACTGCCTTAGTGTCTTATTTTGCCCCTTTGAGTTAGAATTTAATTGATCTAGCCGGACCCGAGAGCTAAGAAGGAAGGATCATACATAAACAAAAGTCTTCCTAAGCTGGAACTGTAAGTGTCAAAGGATCACTACTACTAATTTTGCACCGAGGATAATGAAGTAACAAACTTTTCATTTTGATTTGCATAAAATTGATTTCTTTCCTCATCATTATCTCATTCCAATCTATTGTATTCCAGCCTTTGACATCTCGGTTATCTTTGTGCTTTGGGTGTTTGACAGGACAAGTTTCTACTTGTTTGAATTCTCCAGAATGTTTTTGTGTTGATGCTCATTCCTGTTTTCTTAGTTTGGTCTTGTCTGTCCATTTTAGTTTTGTTTGTGGGTCAAGTCTCACCCATTTCCTTTGTTCGTTTGTTGGTTTTCGGTTCGATTTGGTCATTTCTGCCGCTCTCAAATAGAGCGGCCATCAACTACAGAAGCTTATTAGACAAAAAGGTTTGTGATGCTCTTTTAGCAAGAAAATTGGCCTCCTCAACAGCTGATCTGAAGATCTTAGGTAACTTTGTACTGCTAATTTATCTTTTTATACATAAATAGACATCATAGTCACAGTAAGTTTAAGTCCAACATAAATTGGACAAAATCCATCTAGTGCGAAGGTCTCATGGTTCTTTGGAACAACCCAGCCTGTAATGACCAAAGACTTCTCCTTGAATTAAAAGATAAAAAAACCTGGGTATGACTTTATTGGGCCTTGCCATAGAGCAAGGATCTCAGCTATTTAACTTTTTAATGGTAGTGGATCTGAGTTTGCAATCATAGTATTAACTTTACGGTTCTTAATAATGCCCTGTTCGGACTTCGTCTAGAGATTCCCTAAGAAAACCCATCATCATACTCGAGTCTTGGGGGATGCACCTACAATCAGTTAGGGTGTTTTGGTGTATTATAATGTTTTTTTCACAGACAATAAATGTGTGCTTTTTGGGTTTATTTATTGGTGGATTAGTGTATGTGTGGTATATTTTGTTGTGGTTACTATGAGTGTGTGTTTTATGTGTGTGTTTTGGTTTATTCCTAGTTTGTGGTTTATTGTGGTTAGTGTGTGTGTTTGTGTATTTTTGTTGTTGTTTAGTATGTGTGTGTATGTGTTTTTGTTGTATTAGTGTGGTGTGTGTTTTGGTGTATAAGAGTGTGTGTTTTTTGTTTGGTGTATTAATGTGCATGTTTTTTTGTGTACTAACGTGTGTTTTGGTGTATTGGGATATGCATGTGCTTTTTGGTATATTAGTGTGTGTATGTGCACGTGTGTGTTTTCATGTATTAGTGGTTGTTGTGGGTATTTGCGTGTGTTTGTTTTTTGGTGTGTTAGTATTTGTTAACACTATGTATGTGCATATTTTTTTGGTATACTAGTGGATGCAATCGTTTGCTGTATGTAGTGTGTGTGTTTTTGGTTTATAGTTTGCGTGTTTTTGCGTGTTTTGGGTGTTTTCGATTGGTTAAATTCTTGTTACTGGTTTCAACTATCGTTCTACGCTGGTATGGGTTTCATTTTCTTTATCTTCTATTCTCTGAATTAAGCTTCAGGTTCTAATTTGCATCATTCATGATTCATATGAATTTTTTTAGTTGTATGCTCACATTATGTTGCTTCTTAATATCCTGAAATTGAATGTATGTTGATTTGAAATTGGTAAGACTTGTCCATTTATGATTGAAATAGTGCAATTAGACCAATTAGTGATATTTGTGGAACCAGGAATTCTCTTGGAGTTGAGGGTTGCACACGGTTATAACTTCGGAAGTTGGCATTCCTTACTCTTGTAGCTGTGATTCGTAGAGGTAAACTCTAGAGTATATTTATTGCAGATAAGTCAGGAGTATTTATTCCATCAATCAATGTTTGTTTGGGTATGGTTTTGAGTATAGTCTATTGGAGAACTTATATGATTCCATTGTGCATATTAGCTTCAAATTTGGTGGGGCAGTTGGGGACTTGGGTGTGGGCGAGTGGCTGCCTAGAGTCATAATAATTTTTACATGTCTAATTCTAAGGAACAATATTCGTCCCTAAGTGGAAGGATTGCCTGATTTCAATCAATTAAAGGACTGGAGATGATTTATTATGCTGTATGTGTGCACCACATGAAGCTTTCCTCCACTTAATTAGGCATGGGAGTGGATTTGCATTTCTATTTGTTG